AATGAATGTATTAATTTTACAATTGTGTGTGTGCGTGTTTTTTYTTTTTTTTTTTGTAAAAAAGGTGTCTGATTAGGATATAGTTCTATTTTTAAGTACACTTTTTATACCTTTAAATTTTAATAAAATTGGDTTTTCTCGCACTTAGCCACGGTTTTATATTAATAAGTGTTTAAATCGTTCCTTTTCCAATTTGTTTTAATACTATTAGTGGAATTTCTAGTATAATTAAGGAGAAGATTAGGAATATAATAGGATTTTTACAGTTGGTTAATTTGCTGTGGATTGTTTGGCTATTTTAAATAATAGCGTTAGCCGTAGGGTATTTTAATTGAATCGACGATCGACATGGACAATATTTTTAGAACAAACAAATCAGTGATTAATAAAAACATCAAGTAAAACTATATTTTAACTATCCATTTAAAATAATTTGAAATTGAGTAGGGACAAGTGTTATCGTTGAATACTCCAAAAATAAAGTGCCTTAGTAACCTCGAAACTTAGATAATATTTGTGATACTTAGGTTTTCGTTTTTAGGAATATCCCGGACATTATATTACATTTTAATGATGTAATAATGTTTGACAGGTACGTACTAAGTATCTACTATCTATATTATAATATATTGTAAAACATTGATTATATAGATTATAGATCATATTATTTACATCATAATTTATAACTTAATTTAATTATTTTGTATGTTATTTGACTTTTATTAATCATTTATAAGGTACTCACTATTTAGTTGATTTCAAATAATCGTTCGTATTAAATTATATTACAAACAATTTTTGTTATAAATACTTGTTTGTCCATAATACATTAATACATAATTAAAAATAATACAAAAAAAAAAACAATAACAATGAATATTTTTAAAGAAAAAACTAAAATATAAATAAATACATAATTTATTACCCAACGTGTTGCTAAAAAACAATTAAAAATAACACAATTCATAGTTTATCATATATTAATGACAAATAAAAAAATCCATAGTTATCAAGACTTATATTCAGAGTTCTATTGAACTTGTATGTAATATATGTATGTATGTTTGTACTTTGTAGTAACAACAAAACAAACAAATCTAAAATAAATCGATAGCTCAGAGCAAACGGCAATATTGTATCTTTAGATATTGACTTAAAATAGATTCGAATTATTATTAATGCTGTGTTGAGACACCTGATGTGATGGTTAGCTTTAATAATATAGATAATAATAACTTCCAATCTTAATTAATAATTTTAAAAACCACATAATATACATTTTTCGAGTTAAACCATGTTATTAAATATTTTCAAATGGATAGGTGGTTACTGGTTAGGTATAGTTTAAATGTGTGCACTAAGTGGTTCATACACTTCATGCGGTAACACGGTTTTCCGTTGTAAGTACTATACCTATTTACTATTTTTCGCTACTCTCTGCGTGAATTCACAGAMAATATGGTCTAATGGTCTTCACTGATGTCCTTCTAAACGAACTTGATCTTAATATAAGTATTTAAATATATTATGAAATACACTCAACTGCTATAGATTTAGATTCGTAAAAAATAACCACCACAGAAAGTTATATCAATGGATATACCCAAATTAAAATGAATTATAATATTTTCATTCTCAAATTGAACCATATAATATTTATTTATTGTATTCATATTATACTTAATTAATAATTATTGTATTATTAATACCATTTATGAGTGCTTTTAAAAATAACATTATTATTATTTTTTAAACCCTTCAGTTAATTGTTGTATTCAAGTACAATTAAACAATGTTTAGGTAYGACATGTGATTTTGACCTAGCCTATATCCCGCGTGTCCATCATATCAATTGCTCATAAAAGTACCTACTTACCCGCAATGTCAAATAAATTATTATTTAACGTTAATTTAATATTAATGTAATATTTTTATCGTCGTCATTTCGATTTTATTCGGCTTTTAACACATCGTTGTGACCGTTGTCGTAGTTTTTTTATCGTTGCCCGACGATTGCGCGTTTACAATTATTTATTAATTATTACTGCTAGCCACTAGGTAATGACTATAATGAATAATGAWATTTTTAATTTTTAACGCGTTTGTTTGCACGTCCGGCGGCCGTGTTAATTTTAAAGAAAAAATAAACACCTCGTTGTCTCGGCAAAGGCCAAACGGGTCACAATTTACTCGGTCGTCGGCTTGTTCGAATAATATATTATATCATGTTATCTGAGCACGCTATAGCRTTACAATATAACATACACGTAAACATCCGTTTTCTGTGTACAGCCATCAGTGTGCCTATATCACCTATGCGTGTAACATAATCATAGTTTATAACATTACAGTACAATAAATATGTATATATAACCACATCGACCAGGTATCCCGTGCAACTATGTACATACATACATACACTCACACACATATATATATATATATATCGATGTAATAAATAATAATTTATACTCCGACCGGTAATAACTAATAATAATGTTCCTTAAACCGTGTACACGCACTCACACCGCGTTGTGTTGCGTTTCTTACGTACAGAATTCATTAGGTTTTTAGGTAGGTAAMAAAGTGTTGGTAACACGTTGCCTACACAATATTCAACTCTACGCGACATAGCGGTATAATGCAAATTTAACTTAAATATCGTTGCGATCCAATTCTATTCTACGAAATTCTATACTGAATTTAATGGATGTTTGAAATCAACGACGAGTGTGTCTCAATAATAGTAAAGAATAGATTTAACGTAATACAATTTTCCGGAACACTTCATTTGATAAAATAATTTTACAAGTATATAATAAAATTAAATTTATTCYATAATCAGATTGTAGTCAGTGGTGTGATCAGGGTGAAATAGGCCATGACCGGTTGTCCATTGTGGAAAGGTAGGGACACCAGTAGTATTTTYCCCAAATATGGGAATGTAGAAAAAGGAATAKTGACAGATTTTATACAAAAAAATCTAGAAAAATTAAGATTATAGATTAGACTTGAATACAATAATAATATTATACGGTGAAACATTTTGTATCTGAATGCTCAAAATACGAACTTGTCCGACAATCAAAATCTACGTGACGCTTGACACAGCATTTGCACCTGCAACCGAAGACAACTCAAAAATGATAGACTTTTAAATCATTGGAACTTTATAATTTAATTTAATAAWATCGCCTCTCTATTTKTATACTATAAATGTATTTTATATTTATTTATATTAATATATTATTTCATTAGTACATGTGTAAATATTTTAAAAACTGTAATTATTGTAACTATAACTAATATTGACATCCTACTGTTACAACTCAAATGTATCATCCCTATAAACCACCTATAATAACTGTAATTACTAAAACTATTATGGGCATTTATTCCGGATTCTTGAGATAAAAAAAATTTATATACATATATTACATGTATTATAAGTTTCTCATAACGCTGTAAGTTGTTTATAATAAATTAACATAAATATAAAGTTGTTAAAATTGTTATTTATTTAAGTAGAATTCATCTAATAATATTATATTATWWWAYATTATCTAATCATATAATATGTATAAAAGTTATCTCTAGTACAAAAATAGAAAAGTAATTTTTATAAGGTTTTTATAGGCCTTCCCATTGGTAAAATATAAATTAATACAATATTTAAATATTATTAAAGATGTAAAATATACCTATAACATTTTAATGTGCATAATTATTAATATGTCGCTTGACCTGAAACAAGCAACTGAATTGAACACTGAACAGATACATCAAACTCATTAAATATAAATCAATAATTTTATTTTGTAAGTAAACGTATATTATACATTTATTGCAAATTTATAAATTATATGCATATTCGTGTGTCTAGGTGTATTATAATATTTTTGACATACATGCATATATATTCGTATATTAAATAACGTTAGTTTTGTATTTTATAATAAGTGTAATTAAAAATGTTCAATAGGAAAAATTACTATTTCAAATATTAGGCTGCATCCCTAAATTACCAGCCAATTTCCACTGAAAATTATAAAATCAAACACATTCACACTAGACAATATCATATAACAATATTAATTGATGAGAATACTATAGACAAATTATAAAATAGTTTTTCATTTGTTTGGACATTGATGCAACTAACAGTAAAAATCCTTGACTTTACTTTTATTACACGCCTGTACATACAAATTGCTATGAAAATTGTCAAAATAAATTAACAATATTATAATTGATAAATTATTAAGGATTTTGTTACATAAATTATATTAATAAAATCTCGTTTAAAATTTTTTAATAGACAGAATAAAAAATTTAAATGTACATATTAATCAATTCAAAAAGAATTGGTTAGTGAAAAAAAACCCTAATTTATGGGATTCTGTCGTCTTGAAAAACTCCAAAATRGATTTTGATTACCTAATTAATTTAAGCATTACTCGTATTTGATATTATTTTTGTAAGAGCAGACAAATATATATACATTTTTTAACTACTATAACATAATTTATTTTTCATACTTTACAATGTWGACTCGAGATTCCTCTTCCCTCTTAGAATTTATAAACTTAAAGGTACCCGGGAAATGTACAATGTACTATAGATACTACTTTTCTATTCCCGTTATCATTATTCTAACAAAAATCTATCAACCGTATGATGAGACTTACCATTGACGATCGGACCATTCACCATTCATCATTTAATAAAATATAGTCTTTAATTAGTTTAAACTTATAAAATTGTATTTRGCATATTTACTCTTATTTTGATATAAACGAATGTTATAAATTTYGTGGTTATATGTWGTGTGTACCATATACGTACACGCATAATCTTGAATGCAAATTCGTTTTTCTTTAAGAAATAATAAAAAAAAATTAATGATGAGTTTAGTTGTRCAGAATATTTATTGTTTTACCAATTATAGATCATTTATTGTTTCCAGTTTGAAAAATTGATGTTAAGACTATTACATAGAACTAAAGGGTGTTATTWGAAAGTACGGCATTTTTATCTTCTCCTGAAACATCTTGTTTTTCTGTAATTTTGTAAACTATACCGCCTGTATTATTTTTTAAACGGGTATCTTTAACTATCCTTTCAATATTATATAACTTACTTGAATTTAAATGGCAATCTGTTGGTGGATTGTTGCATGGATTATCTGATGCGATAACATTTTGGTTTCCCCTTATCCATTCTGGAATTGGCTGGGATGAAAGAAATTCACAAATTTGGTTTTTTCCATAAACTGATTTCTTTGAAATTCGTGGATTTGATTCAGTATCGTTTTCGATACCAAATTTCGAAAAATTATGAATGGATTGTTTAGTACATACAGTAATATGATTCATTTTTTCTTCGTTTTGTTGTTGGTCACAATTATTATTTAAATTGTCGTAAATTTGATTTCCACCACAATTATTCATAAAATTAATTGATTTTTTTGAACAAACTGATAAATTACAAGTTTTATTGTCGTCAATTTGATTTCCATCACAATTATTTTTAAAATTAATTGATTTTTTTGAACAAACTGATAAATTACAAGTTTTACTGTAGTCTATTTGATTTTCAACAGAATTATTTAAAATATGGTTTGATTTTTTTGAACAAACTGATAAATTGCAAGTTTTATTTTCAGCAGTTATATTCGAAAACTGATTTACCTGTGCCATATTTTGATGCTCACTCTGTTTAAACATTTCCGCAGTTAGTTTAGCGTTTAAAAACTCACATAAAATGATATCACCGTACTTAATTTGATTATGACCCTCTTTTGAATTTATAATATCTATATTAGCTGTACTAGTTACATTAGAATTGTTAATTAATTGGCATACACAYCGATCTGAAGTACACTCGCTTTTAATATTTGTGCTCTTGATTGGAATATCGGTGAACTGTTGATTTTGTTGTACATCAATTGAATTTGGTCGTATTAAATAATCAATACACATTTTAATATCGTCTATACTTTTTTGCAGTTCTTGTTTATTTTCTGTTTTAATGTTTGATTGGTTTTTCATAATTTCCTGTTCATTTTCTTTACTCAACTGTTGCACACTATATGTTAATTTATCTATGTTCATTTCGTTTGTGTTCATTTTATTATCCAGATCAGATAGATGAACCATGATTTCACATTTTTCATTTATTTTATCAATTTTAAATTGCGATAATGCTGACTGTATTTTTGTAAAAAAGCATTCCAACCTCTCATCTAAATAATCAGACAATTGGTCAATTGAATTAGTATTATTCTGAGTTGAAATTTCGGAATTCGTCACTGGATCATTTTCATTTATGATTTTGGTAAGATTTTTTTCAAAATTTTCAGATCTTTCAGGCTTTTCGGTATTTTTATTTTTTGTTACACTTGGATTGTTTTTAGTCGTTTTCTTATTTTTTATGGAAACTTTGCCCTGAACAATATTTTTCTTTTTTGCTGTCGTAGTATTATCTATAATGCTTAATTCTTTTTTAGAGTTTTGACTGTTTATACTAGAATTATTTAAAATAATATTCTGGTCAGTTTCTATTTTTGAATTGRGTTGTTTCAAATTAATTAAACCAGATAAAAAGGATACCTATAATATTAATTCAAAAATAATCAAAACATTTTATTTAAATTTTTGATTTATACTTACTTTTTTGGTAAGGGTGTGTATATTTTTTTCTAAAACTGGTATAATTCTTAAGATCTCCTCTATTTTACAATTATTTACTTCTTCATTTTTTTTTGTATTTGTTGTGTCATTGTTTAAATGTAAATCTTGTTTATTTTGTAATGCTTGTAAATTTGCGTGTACTATTTTTACGTGCTCAACTCTTTCTTGCAAATCAGTTTTAATTATTGATTCCTCTTCGTTATTCGACAAGATTTTGATTGATTCCTCATTAACCTTATCTTTGTTGAGCTTATCTTCGSCAACCTTATCTTCATTAACTTTATCTTCGTTAACTTTATCTTCATTAGTAGTTTGTTGAATTGTGTCCTCACATTCATTTTTTTTGGTTTTACTAAAAAAGCTATTTAGCCACATTTAAATATTTTTTTATGTGTTATAAAAATTAATGCCTTCTACATGGATTAAATGTTTAAATATATTTTGTAGTTATAGGTAGTGTATTAATTGACGTTTAATAAGTAATTTTATAAATATTTACTTTATTGGTATTTACTTTGGATACCTACTACTAATTAGTTATACTTAATTATAATTAAGCCAATCAATATTTTGTTTTTACAACATTGTTAATAGAATTTCAAACCAATCTGTTTTATTTTTGTTAAGTAATTATAAGTCCATATAGGTGATTAAGAAATGTAGATTAAAAAAAACTCTGTACTTACCTATTTATTTAATTTTTTCAAGCGTACATATTATTATAATCATATAATTTACTATTATAAACTCTCACTATTGTACAATAGCTATTATAAATATAATTATTTATATTCATTTAATCATTTAATCTATCATAAAAAAATATTTAAAAAATTGAATGTACTTAGACTATATAATATAAAAGATAATAATATTTCTATACAGGTAATATTGTTATCGTTGATATATTTATTATTATTTCAAAATAAACCATTAACATAGTATGAAGATAGGATTTGTATTTAAAATTAATAAATTAATTGTAGATAATTCACAAACAAATTAAAATAATAATGTATTAAACATGGTTATTACACAAAATAGTCACYTATCTGAATTCTTTACGGTTGCTTAAGAACTTATAATATAAGTAATATATAATATAGTATAATARACAAGAAATGTATATAAACAACAATGTACCTATTGTCGCAATTTTTATTATATATATATATACATATAGGTACTATAATATATTAAATGTTTTACCATATATTTTGCAATACATACAGATCGTTCGTTCTTAATTAAACAGCTGTTAATTATTAAATATAAATACAACTCTTATAGAAACAATGTCATGAAGTTTAGTTTTTTTAATTGCTAAGGAAAGTGCATAACAAATATAATGAAATGTTATGAATGATACTTATAACTTAAATATATTAATTTATAAACATATATTTAAAAGATTTTGTACGCGTGATATACTAATATGATTGAAAATAAAAGTTGTGGCGTTAAAAATTATTTCATTACCACCGGTAAGATTGAAGTTCCTCTTTATTTGTCAAAAATCTTGTCAGAATGGTCAAAAGCTGCAATACGTACTAAACCTTCAGATCTACTTCTATGGTCTTCAATTTACTTTTCAATGAAAGCTAGTGGTAAACAGCCACCAGTAAAAGAATATTTGGATACCCCTGATCTAAAAATAGGACCGGGTGGCTTAACTCCAAACACGTTAAAAGCACTGGCTAAGACTTTATCAAATGAATATGAGACTTATGATAAAATAGAAACAATGTGGAATATTTTATCACTTAAGAAAAAAATATTTATGGAAATAATTAAAATTGGTAATTTTAAAAATGATATCAAATCAAATGAATTTATTGGAATTGCAGCAGCTTACTTAAATAATAGCCTTAAAGGTACAATGATGCTATTGTGCAATACATTGTCTAAAGATAACTCAAATGGTATTTTATTGGAAATCTTTGTGGAAATTTATCAATATTTGGCAAGACTTGATTGTGTAGACGTAGTATTATCTTCAAATAAAAGTTCAATAGTTGAACTTGAAATAGAAAATTATGAAGAAAACAGTGTTCATAATGATAGTCAATGCTTTAGTTCTTCATCTTCTCAAATCTGCAGCTTGGATACAAAACTTTCTTTTCACAGGGAATTTGAGGAACCAGAAACCAATTTATTAGATAGCAAATCTGCTGAAGGCATTATGGTTTGGCAAGACGTAAATATGGATCATGGACCTGAATCGTTAACAGAAATTCTACGTGYACCAATGATAAATACCCCGATAGTTACTACAGTTTGTGATGATSTGGAGTATGAATTTTTAATAAAGAAATTAAAAGATAATCTTTTTGATCAAGAAATCCTGTCACAACTTAGTGCTGAAAGCGTGATATGCGATAATCCACATTCAGAAATCTCATTTGATTCTATGTCAGATACTTCACAGAAAGCAGAACATCTGAGCTTTGATGAACTTGGTAACGAAGAAATTATCGGTAACCCTTCATCTTTAGTATTAACAGAATCAAATTACGAGAAAAATGACTTTGAAATTCAAAATGAAGACACGTATAATGACTATACTGAGATCAATCCTGAAATATTGGATGACATGAGTATGGTAAAATATGAAGACGATATAAATGAGATAAATTCCGAGATRAATGAAGAAATCAAAAATAATTTAAATAGTATTACAAACATTGAAGTAAACAAAGATTTCATTGTTATGATGGCTTTAGTTAGTGATGCAAATGGTCCATTGTCAAATATTGAACCCGCGGATGAATCTTTAGGAGATAATGAGTCATTGAAATCTGAATTTTCAATACTTGAAAAAACCGATTTAAATCTTAATACTGCGGATGATGATAATAATAACATACAAGTAATTAAACAAATCTTTGATGAAACTACATATATGACCAATGATAAGGAAAGTTCAGGCAGTGAAATTAGTAGCGGTTCAGAAGGATTCCATCATTCAAATATTGATCAAGAAAGTAATCGTTCGGTGGCGTTAGAAAAAAGTTCAATTCATTCGGAATCTAATAATAGTGCCATTTACTCATCCAGAGATGATTTAGTGACTTTAATTGATCACAATAAACTTGATGAAGATCAATTAACATTAAWTGATTTATCGGAATCTGCACAGTTTGAGTCTATAGACATGCTGGATGAGCCTTCAGATGAAATTAGAGAAATGGTTGAGGAATGTGAAGAGTATTCAAATAGTTCAGAAAAATCAATAGAAATACCTCTAATGGATAATAATGTTGAATCAAAAATAGATAATCCCGAAAAACGTATTCGTGTTATGTTAGGAATTGGACCAGCACTTTCAGAAAAACAAATAAAATACGTTATTGACTGGGTTACAGAATGCGCTAGCAAACAAAATAATTATGTACAAGAACATAATTTAATACATTTTCAATGCCCTCCATTGGACTATCAGCCCGAGAGTGCTAACAAAAAATCCAATCAAAATGCATGTTCTTAAATAAATAATTGYTCTGTAAAAGAAAACATATTTTACTACATTATGTAATAGAAAATAAGAATTATCAATTTTTATTATGTACGGTACAATAGTATAACAATTTGTAAATCCATCTTTGACTCAGCAATAACATAATATTTTGAAAAATATACAGTAAAATTGTATAGTTTTTTTATGTTAATATAATAAATAATTATATGGTCCAAGTCTACCTTTATGTATTGTAAATTTAATACAATTTTTGATACCTTAAGTAAAATAGTAYAATTTGTAGTACTTCTGTCATTCATTATTATAACTTATTCATATTACTACTRTCTACTGAATACTTATAGCGAAAACAAAGTAAACGTTTAATTATTCAGAGGACACCAGCATCAATTTACGACTTTTAACTTATAAATCAATAACAGCAAGTAAAATTATTAAACGAAATATTATTTTAATAATAATAATAATAATAATAATATTAAAATATTATATAATATATAATAACCATATTATGGTTTGTTTTTTCCAAAATTATTTTAGATTTTAGATTTCCAGTATACCACCGAATTGTTTACAAAAAAGTACATTGTGAARTAAAATATCCTTGGAAATTTAGGCTGACAGATTTCCGTTCAAAATCGTTTAAATTTATCATCGAATTCAAATTCACCGCATCCATATTGCTATCACTGCTATCTAATAATCAGTGGCGAGGTCCGAAGAGGAGAACTCGGACACTATCATACGGCAGAGTGACTACCTCAATTTATTTTTAAATTTATACAACAGTTTTTAAAGTAAGATTTTTTTGTAATATTATCTTCAGACCGATAAAGTGTATTGGTATTTTTTAAAAACATTAAATCCTCCTCCCTCATTAAAAGCACACAGATATACACAAAAAACAAACCTATATAAACGAGAAAAATATAAAGAACTTTATATTGTTACTATTATTATAACAATAAAAATATAATATTGTATTGTTTAAATAGTTTATTCTGGTGGTTTTTTTCTAATTGGTTTTGATTTTTAATACTTACCTAGTACCGCGATATATCATAMCATCGTGGTCATAAAAATAAATTACATAATTATTTACGATTTTAGTGTTTAAATAAAACAAAACAATAATATAATAGGCCGTTGAGCGCGCGGCGGATGCTAAAACGCCGCCGCCGCCGACGTTGTATCGATCGRCGGCCGTCCGGCTCTTCGCCGGGTCGAGTGGGTCGCCGCCGCGCCGCCGTGGCTATCAGCTTATCACTCGGCCAGAATATTGTTTATTAAAAAATAGTTCTTTTTTTTTTTAAATAATAATATACAATATTACGCTTTTTATAATATTTATTAATCAACATCGTTATGTTCTCAACTAACATTAATCTCGCCGTGTAAGGTGTGTAACCGTTTTCCACGATTTTATCTTTAACGAGCGCATGCGCGTGTGAAGCCGAAGACATGATAATATGCGTAATGAACACGCCGCAATCATAACGTATCAGAATTTATAATATTTTTATGATGGACAATGGACTTCATTAGTCGTAACAAATCACCAAACCTACACAACGACCACGTGGACGGTCGTTTCGCACTGCAGCTACATCAAGTACGTATGGCATTTAATTACATATTTATAATATTATAATACATAATTATTATCATTTATTACCTTCCTGTGATATCAYGACGTTTTTGTCCTGAAATTACTATCACAAAAAATCGTACCTATCACTGCGGTATTAAATCCTCAAACGGGCAGCTAAAAAGTCGTTTATCGCGTTTCGTTGAACTCGGCCATCATGTCGACATTGATTTATTGTAACAAATATAGTAATGGCATTGTATAGAATAAAAACACTGTCTAGGACAACTAGGTACATTGTACTGTTGACCAGTGGTCGAAATGAGACATCACAACAAAACCAAAAAAAGGCATTTTTTTCATTTTTTAGTTGGTACTTGACTATAAATATTGACAGGTACGCCACACGACGTGGTTATCGATCGTATACGGTGACGAGGTATCTACACTGTCGCAGTGTTATTAATCGAAACCACTTTTGAGTTTTGACTTCTGTTGATATCTAACGATTATTTGTACAGACTACAGCTGATATAATGACGTATAGACCGTATAGTATAAGCAATAATAGACAAGTGGCAAGAAAATAAATTGTTTTCGTCAAATTAAAAATATAACATTTTGTTGAATATTTCATACTTACTGACTTTTGATTATTTAACTTTTACTATCAAAACATAACGCAACATTTAAAAAATTTTCACGATATACTTATACCAGGTTTTTAACAGTGTTATTCAATATTCTAAAAACGTATTCGCCACRTGCATAAGGATCCGATTTCACAATATTTGTTGAGTGTTGTTCTTGTGTTGTGTGTACAATAAAATATATACGTAGATCTTGCAAATTTGGCATAGTATCACACTGGTCGGTATTTTACCACGTAAATAGCGATGATTATTCATATTTATATTTTTTCAAATATGGCTTAGGTAAATTATTTACAATATTACAGAACTAAAACAATAATTATAACAATAATAATATATCRYCGTAATTTACGCGTAGTAGTAAAATGGCCAACCAAACTTTAACATCGACTTAAACATCTTCGTTTTTTTCCTTTTCTGAAATGAAAATATTTTAAAGATGAAATAATTAATTTCCGATCAATATTTAGATACCTATATCGTGAATAAGAGAGGACGCTACACACATATTTGYTGTCTCCGTCTTACAAGCGCGTAACATAGCAAATTTACGCTTAGCATATTATCACGTTTAATTCTGTTAGTTGGTTATGTTACGGAAATTTCAGATTTGGTATGTCGTACATGTGTCAGGATGGAGAAAATACATAAGGGTGCGGCGTTCTCTTAATATTTTTATCAGTTATTAGCAACAAGTGTTTGTAAAAGGTATTATTATTATTTATAACGCCCCCCCCACCCCCCGAATAATATCTGAGCACACCAGATTTTCACTCAGATGTGGAAAACAAATAATTTACCGTGGTACAACCTATGAAACATTGATATAATATTATATTAATTCAAAATTATTCCAAGTCAAGTGTACCAGAATATTACAAATTAAATCCGAGCCAAAGTTATATCATCACGGTGTCGYCTCAGGACGATATCTCTAAAGGACTAAAGCTATAGTCTATGCCCACTGTCAGGCCTGGCGGAAGGCACAGGCAACACAGTGTTATGTCTGGGGTGGCATTATGTAAGAGGCGGAATTTTTCAGTGGTAGGCAGTGCCGTATTTAGGGTAATGATTTTGCCAATTTATATTCATTTTGTCTAGAGACGTCCCTGTCCACTGTGTCTGTGCAGTGGGGGGAAGGAGGGGGGGAATGTAATTTCTTTAAAAAAACAGTATACAGACAACGACATAACAATATCATAAGCACGTCTTCTTGCCGGGCGTGTTTTGGAGGACGATACCTGTGCACTCGCTGTGTAGTATTATACGATAAAATTCCATTCAAAATTATTATCATGCAGTGCACGCGGAAAACGAATAACCAGTCGGACGAGTATGGTCGGGCCGACTTGTAACTGACTAGGAACAGGAATCGTTTCGCCGTGTCGGACAGGTTACGGAAAGAAAAAAAAATTAAAAAAAAAAAAAAATCGTCCAGAAAAGCAACGCGGAAATCATAGTGCAAGCGAATTAAAATATGTAAGCAACTCGTAATATAAATCGCGTGCGCGTGTACACGAGTAGGCGTCCGTGTGTGAGCGCCGCTGCTGACTAACGACGCCGACTTCGACGACAAACCGGTAATAATAATGCATGTATAATGTATGCGGCAAAACTGTTGCTGATGAGTACGCGCGACTGCTGCACGACAAGTCCGGTGGTAGTGGTCAGCGTTTTCAGCACACAACACGCGCGTCCGTCTCCTGCACCACTCCTCCCGACCGGCCACCTCCAACGACTCGGCCGCCGCCGTAACCCGATACGCGTTTTATTATTAGTACATTTCGATCGCGATTAAATAGTCGTCGCAGTCGCAAGCCCCGCGCAACTGAGCACCACTCAGTAGCGTTACGAGTACCCGTGAATATCGATCACGCCGTACCGATCCGAAGTCAATTGTCGGTTTAGATCGCATCGAACGCGAAGAGTGAAATCGCCGCGATCGTCGTTTTTTTTTTTTTTCGGCTCTCTAGACATCGGACTACATTATATATTTTTCAGCAGCCGACGCCACTAAAGCACACGTAACTACGCCGTCATGTCCTTATCGCAGTCCACGACCTCGTCCGGAGGTTCATCCACYAACAGCGTGCTGGAGAAGTTGGGCCTTCTGCTCGTAGCCCTGGTCGTGCTCCGCCTCACCCGGGCCACCATGCGGTTCGCGTACCGACACGTGTTCGGYCCGTCGGCCCTGTGCGGGAGCACCGTCGACTTCGCCAAGTGTGGCAAGTGGGCCGGTACGTATCTATTCAGGTTCTAACTGTTGCGATTCAGTGGCGTCATTTGGCGGGCTCATTTAGGCCTTTGAAGGCTCGAGGAGACGTAGTTACATCCGCACAACGAGTTGTGTTTCCGTCTCATACAGATGGACTACACGCCAAATTTGCGTTCGGCAGTTCCAATCTTGTGTGGTTAGCTTCATTTAGAATATTTTAATTTGAGCTAATCCACTGTCAAACATTTCAGTGGCGCCGAATTCAATTTAAAATGGGATGGCCAACTAGTAAAAAATGACCAAATACCAGAACCGTTAAATCAAACCTATGCGMTTATACGTTAACGTTATCATCAGACAGTATTCATGTAAAATATTTTAGTATTTTCACAAATTTTTCAAATTTTCCTGTTAGATGTTTACCCATCTGCATAACCTACGACCCACCCATTTAAAAGCGGTGGCGACTGTATAGGTTCGGCGCCACTTGCTCAAACTTTAAGAAAGGTTAAAGATCGTGACCTGCGATTATTCACAATATTTAAATTTCCAAGCAAGTTATGAGCGTTTTTAAGTATCAATATTTTTAAACTCATAACTCGTTTACTTGAATATTCTAGCTAAAAGTATTGACATAATTGGAACTGCTGAATGTATGTTTCGATATAATAGTAAACCTACGTTAGTAGAGACGAAGCATGCCAGGCATTGTAGCAAATAACATCTTATTTATTAATTATTTCGATTGGAAAATATTGAAAATATTTGAGCCCGGAGACGTGAAAACATGACGCCACTGCGCAACAGCGTTTCAATATAATATATTATTATTTTACACTGATCGTGAAGCAGCGACACACGCAATACGAACCGAAAAAATAAGTGACAACGGATGCATAATACAATATTGTGTATACGATTGACACGCACACGACACGAATCGACATCACACGTCATACATAGATATCAACTGTTATCGTAGGCTTTACACGTATACGCGTTACAATAATGATTATTGTTGTGTTTGCGCAAGTGGCTTCTTTATCTGTGTTTTTTGTCAATAATATGAAAAGAAAATTTATTGGGAACCACCGCCACCGTCGCCGCTAATATAATATTTCACTCATTTGTACGGCAGTGGTGGCGGTATAGCAACCGTGTTGGACTTGTATCGATTCAATACAATTTGTATTATTTTATTTAGTACTTAATATTATTATAATATTAAATTAAATCGATATTTTACTACTTTATCAACAGTCATTGAATAGAGATAGTCCCAGGGCAAAGGTCTTCAGGAACTCGATTAGTAATCTTCTTTACATGTTTAAGTATATATTATAAAATTATACCTAATCGTGTACGGACGGAGATTGTCGAATAAAAAAAGATAAAATTAATAACCGGTCAAGTATAGACGTCTAAAATACCGTTAGTTTTCTACGATCGTAATAATTTTAAATATTAACATAGTATATTATATTCCGTGAAAATTGTCGTGCGCACTAAACTGTCACTCATAATTATTCTTTTATTAATTAATAATGATAGTATTATGCTCGTCTACAATCGCCGCCGCGTATGTATTATAATTTATAATAATACAGGGTGTCACACAAAGTACGAACTTTGGAACGCTCTGTATGACATATGCGTGGATGCACTGCAAGTGGTTCTGTTGCAGTTGTTTGGAGAGTGGGGAAAGGGGCCCTAGGCACATTCCACTGGCCGTGGATCTTGGATGGTTTTGATTCTCAGTACAGATTTTGAGCAATTATATCACCGTGGGCTACGAATTTTTTCTCCGGACATCGTGTAATCATTAAAAAGCACAGATCCGCAACTATTTCTCAGGTTTGCAATAAGTTTTTGGTGAAATATTATAATAAATTATACCACCTCAATAATATGCATATAATACTAATCAAATAACTCATTCGATTATAGTCCAAAGTTTGTAATTTTTCGAATTGTCTAAATATATTTTTAAGGGTAAACAACATAAATACTAAATATGCGTTAATCGTAAATATTTTATACTGCGTTTTAGTTTAATCCGATTATGCATATTTTTTGTTGGAAATTTAAAGACGAATAGCTGAAAAATTATTACTTTAACTTTATTGATCTTGTGTATTTATATAAATATTTCAAATACAATAACATAAATATCATGGATTATAATATTTGTTCAATATTATAATTTATAATGCCTATTCTAATGAATTATAAAAACAATACACAAACCAACGGAAGTTCAGACAATCAGTTCGCCACTGTATAGTATGACTGTTATGAGTTATTACCACGATTATTGATATTTGATAGAATGGTTACGCAACGAGCGAAATAATTACTATATTTTAACCTGCGATGACACTTTCGAGTCTCGACATACGGTGTACGACATCTTTCTAAATGTCTAATTATATGTATTCGATTTGTTCTGCATTTTCACTCGACTTCYTTCAAACATAATATCGTCGTATGGCTACATTATACATTGTAACACTGTCTTCACTCTYGAAGCGTAGTCGTGGTCACTCATTTCTCACAGACTAAAAATAAAACGTGATGAGTGAGTGTGAAAGAGTGATGAAGTGAAGGCTTGAAAGATTATATAAAACTTTTATACTTGTAAGTGACGAGTTCGTATATGTGAATTGTTACYATTGTAAAGACGACGAAGTCCCGTAACTGCCCTACATATTTACAAATATTATAATTATATTCGACGCTATTTTATAGTGTTATATGTTACATATATATAGTACGTGTTTATTCTGTTCATCAAAATCGTTTTAAAATATGATATGATATTTTATCGCATTGATCGTTCGAAATCTTTTCTAGGAAACTTTTAGATGATTTTAAAGAATAATACYGAATTGATTGAAAATGATGGAATGAATGTGAACAACTTTTGGCTTATTTATACTTATATTGCTACAGGAACTAAAATCCTACTAATTCATTACGTCTAAAGTTTCTCGACCGGTTTGTTGTACCTAATGCATTATAATGTTGTTGGTAGGTAGTTGAGGACTATATTCTACACCATATTCTWATAAAATTCACACAACTATTTGTTTATTAAGTTATTATTATTATATATTTACTTGCATAACCTTCGAATAATATTATTTTTTTCTCATATTAAAGCAGACTACACTGTTTTCAAAATATAATCGGGTGGTGCTGCCGCCTKTTATAAGCAACATCGCTTATAATTATTATCAAATAAACATACCAAAATAAATTACAAACAAATAATGGATAAATTAAAACTAAAGAATATATTATCATAAAACGTTTGCTTACAAAATTRTATTTTAAATATATTTTATACATTTAATTAATAGAACACCATAAACAGAAATTACAAAAAATGTATAAAATAAATCACATTTTTAAATTTAATCGTAAATTAATTAGGTGTAGCCTAATCCAGTTAATTCGAAAAGGCTTRAAATCAAATTGTTAATTTACACGCATTATTCAAAATATATACACRTTTAGATATTATAGAAAATGTACTTAAATTRAATTTATATTTTAAGTAATAATACAGTTTCCTAGTTATTAATACAGTGGATTCTTGATAATCCGAACCTCTATAAGTAGAATTTTCGATAACTCGAAGGAATGCCTTGTGCTCTTGTCTTACAATATATGACATGTGTGAATTTCCTTAAGTTTAATTATTGATAACTCCAATTTTTTTTCGCACTTAACCGATTCGAGTTATCGAGGTTCCRCTGTATTTATTTATTCACTGCTGTGTTTATAGACGTATATAAACCGGTTTTTCTGTAAATAATTAGCTTTAGTGCAGTAATATAGTAATTTCATTGAATAATTTTTATATAATTACAACTTTTTATATTTCAACATTTGATACCTAATGTTTGTAACTTGTACAGGGCTTAAAATTTAAATTTTTTTAAATAATAAATGTTTTTAATGTGTTTAACAAAAATTAATTTTAATACCTATAATTAAATACAATTAAATACAATTTAATTAATAGGTAGGTWATTGCATTATGATGAATTACAACAATCATAATTATTATTGTTTTATTTAAATTAGTCCTATGAAATTATTTTGTACTTTTTCTTATTTTTAATATTAAAGCTGAACTGTTTTYATTTGAATAATTAATWCATGATAACAAAAATTATAAATAATAGYTAGATTTAGTTTATGATCAACAGTAACTATAAGCTACTAAATAATATATATGTTGAAAATTCTGGGTTTTTTTGGCACCTGAGAAGAATATATATTTTTACTGATGAGAAATATTATTATGTGCAACCATTCGTGATTTATATCAACGTGTCGGGGGCTGGAATATTGAATAAATATAATATTAATTTCCTAGGCATTTTGTTTTGTGATATGTGCGTATTTTGTATTTGTCAATATGTGATTGTGTGAATGCACAATAGACTATTGAGTGCGTTATCTTTCGTGTTACCTTTCGCTATTATCGTCACACAACTATAACGTGATGATTGCCTCGATGCGAGAATAAACTTAAAATAACGTGAAACTAAAATATTAGGCACTTATATAGTACCTACTTACCTATATATGCACTATGTACATATTTTCATGACAATTAAAGATTATTAAAATCACTAATTATATTTTTACAAAATCATTATACGATTATTATTTTATACTTTTATAGGTATTTATCATTTTTTAGAAAAGTATTTTGCATTCGATTATTAAATAAGAAGAATATGTGATTAAAATAATAATAAGTATTATAAATAACTTTGAGCTTTAACTAACTTCACGAAGATGACTAAGACAATTAATGTAATCGTATGAATGGATAAACACGAAAAATTCGTGAGTACAACCCAATACTTAAATCCTATAATATATTATGTATTGYGTATTATTACTGTTATACACATGTGTATAATACACATAATTATGTATTAGTATTATACTTGTAGGTATTTAAGTATAATACGTGTTTTTAATTTTTAGTTAAAAATTAAT